ATATATATATATATATATATATATATATATATTTATTTATTTATTTACATATTTTTTTATATCACTTCATAAATTTTATAATGTCACTTTTTTAAATCCTGACGTGATATATTTATCGTCATATTATTCAACAAAAAAATAATTCTTTTTTGAACATTAGAATGAGATTATTCATTTTTTGGATGCTGAATATGAATTCGGTTTTTAAAATTAGTATTCATAATTTTTATTTATTGTCTTAAAACATTAATATGACTTTATTGGTTGATTTACACATAACATTTTAAAACTGTACCTAAAGCTGTAAAAAATATTCATAATCAAACATGGGATCTATTGCGGAAAAGTTGAAAAGTGAATTAGATTATTGATTTATCAAATAGTTTTCAATTATATTTATTTAAACTTAAGGGTCTTTTACATCATTAAATACAAATCTAGTGTCAAAATTGACAAATTTAAAGTGGTGGATTTAATATAGATAATCCGGGCGCATTGTAATTTGACACGTATCATATTAAATCCATTATTTCTAAATTTATCAATTTTGACATTAGATTTATATTTAATGGATAGATTTAAATTTATAAAACATTTTTAAATTTAATTCGTCAATGATTTAATTCACAGCTTTCCTGTGATAGACTCCATATTTAATTATGGCAAACATTTTTTTTTGAGGGCTAGAAATCTTAACAACACTTTGAACTATAATTTCTATTAAATTATTATTTCTTAAAATTTCTTCAATACTCAGACATTGTAGTTATAACATAACAAAATATGTTAAAATATGTCTTTTTTTGCAAATTTAATTGTCAATTTAATGCAAATTTGTTAAAAGCTGTAAAAGAACAATTTGGAAACCGAATTCGTATTCTAAAAAACTACGAAATATGATTATCTTGTTTTAATGTCTTTTTTTTGTTGAACAGTATAATTTAAAAGTCAAATTCGTTAGCATTTGAAAATTTACAAAAGTAAATCATCTAACCCTCTTCTTTCATACATAATCCTACTTTAAATAATTTTTTTTATAAATTAATAACTCAATATCATTTACAAGTTAAAGACTTAAAATAGCTGAGAGTTGTAATCGATATTGAAACAGTTAAGAAACTTTCATTTAAACTAATTTCATCTTTTTCAATTAACTTAATTAATCGATAAATTTTGGTAGTCTAACAAATGCAATTAGTTAATTTCAATAAAATAACTAGTGAATAAGATATACTTTTTTAATCCGATTTTTCAAAACATTAGTTTTTCAATTTTCATTAATAATTAACTTTCATATATGCCTAATATAAAAATATAATATAAAATATGATATCAAATGTGCAAACTGTATTCGATACTAATGTCTAATTTTATTTGTTTACATAAATAATATTTTTATTCATTAATAATATTTTTATTCATGTATTAAAAATAATTGTGATATATTGAAATAAAATATCGCTTTATTAACTTTTTTAAAAATATTTATTAATAAATATTTTATACGGGAAAAAATATTTGGTACATGACGAACTATTAAAACTGATAAAACTAAACAAATTTGAATTGAAAAGATTTACTAGTGTAATGTAGCAACTAATATACGTTAATACGCTAATATAAATTCACAAGAAACATTTCAAATTAACATAATTAAACAAATCTGGATTAAAAAGATTTGCTACTGTTCCTAACGCAGCGACTAATGCATTAATTAGAAAAAATATTTTGAATAAGGGTTTCGAGAGGCCACAATTATGAAATTGATTCATTTTATCAATTGCTTCGTTTTCAAAATATTCCATTTTTTCCACAAGACATTCTGTATAATTCTTTCTTATTAAATATATTCTATAAATACTTATTTATTGCCTATTTCCTGTCTGGAATAATATTAACAATTATAATTAAATGTCATGTCAAATGTAATTTACTGCATTTTTTTACATAATAATAAAATCACATAATTTCTAATTAAAAATTTTAATCTATAATTTGTAATATTTTATTCAGTATTTACAAGTAATAAGTAAAAAAAATGAAAAACTAGTTAAATAAGAAAAATCTATATATCATCTGAGTTAAAAATTTATAAAATTTGATTGAACGGCATGCATACTTTCTGAGAGAGAGAACGTATTATCAAATTTTTAAAAAGATTAAAAACTCATTTTTAAAATATCTATCAGAAAATTCATTAATTTAATCAAATCATCACACAATAATATAAGTAAATTCCTATAAAATTCCTATTGAAAGAATAAATCAGTTTTAATCTTGTTTTTATTAGATTTTTTTTACGATATGAAAAGCTATAAGGATAACGTATACTCTTACAGATGTCAGTTTGTATACAGTATATATAGAGAGTGATCGACGTAGACAGACTGAGTTCCTCATGAAAAGGCAGTATTGCAAGAGCTTTCATACCGTTCGGAGTGATCTAACTCATGTTCCAGAACGAGCACGCGGTAACTGTTTAAGTAATTGAGAAGCAAAGATCATAAGGTGAGTGGTCTAAGTAACGGATAATATCTTTTGTGAATATCAAGAGTCTTTGTCTTAATATTTTATTCAGTATCTACGAGTAATAAATGAAAAAAAAAAATTAAAAACAAAAACAAAAAAAATTTATATATCCGAGTTATAAAATTCGATTGAACGGCATGCCTACTCTCTAAGAGAGAGAAAGAGAGAGAAACTTATTACAAAATTCTCAAAAATATTAAAAAATTTGAAAAGATTGAAATTAAAAAAGAAAAATAAAAATATAAAAAAATCAAAGATTCTTTTACGTATTATTATTCGCATGTGACATAAAGAATTTTAGATTTTAATTATTATAAAAGATTATCGTAATAAAGAAATTCGCGAAGCGAATTCTCTTTCTGATAAAAAAGGTTATACTGTACAACAACATAAAATTTTATTAAAAACTATTTCATATTCGATTTAAAATTAAATTAAAAATATTAAAACATCTTAAAAAAAAATTTTTTGCACTTATAAATTTTGTAAAGTTTGAAAGCAATTAATTATTTTCCAGCGAACAGTTTTAAAATTTCAATAGAATTATAGAATTCATATTTTCTTACAATTTTATATTTGTTTATCTGTACTAGCTTTTTAGTTTTTATTTTATTCATCTATTTTGAATCATTATAAATACACATATACATGAATAAACTAATTTAATAAAATATTTCACATAATCTTTTTCATCTTTTTCAATTATTTGAAATATAATCTTTCCAATTACTTTTTAGACTGTATCTGTCACTAAGCGCATTATGTACCTTACAAATATGTATAATAAAAAGAATAATTAATTAAGCCTCATTAATTTTTTATAAATATGGATTAGTAAATTGTAATTCAATAAGGCTTTTAAACTCTCAATCCTTGAAATATGTTATATATTTTAACGCCATTGGAACATGTACAAGCATTCGTCGCAATCTATTGAATCACTTATTTCTACGCAGCGATAAAATAATCTAGCAAATACAGGTAATTCATTATATTGTTGACATATATTTATGTATCAATAAAAAATAAATTTAATAACTTTTTTTTAATGGCCGATAATTATATTTATGTGATGTGAGATGGAAACCATATTTAATTATCAGATATTTATAAACTATATCTTCTCTTTCTATTTTAATTACATTATATTTTCTGACATCTATAAGAGAGGAATGACGTCTTTGCATTTTATTTTTTGTTACGGTTATCAATAAATAATCAAAGTAATTTAAGACATTTTTGCAAAAATAGCAAATTTTTTGTGATAATCAGAATATCCGACATACTTGTTATACTATAGTCATAACTTATTCTAATAACCAGTTTTAGTTCATAATCAGTTAATTTTTAATCAGTAACCAGTTTAAATTCCTATGATTATTTCTCAATCAGTATGTGGTAAAAGTATCCTTTTACTTATTTCTTATTTTATTTAATCTATATTTTTGTCTTCTAATTTAAATTATGCCTTAAATTATAAAAACATCCTATTTTCATGTTTAAAATTTTGTTAAATTTTATCATGTGCGTCAATATTAATATCTAATAATAATCCTATCTAATTTAAATGTAATAAAAATGCCTTATCTTCATGTTTAAAATTTTACTAAATCTTATCATATGCAATGTTAATCTTTGCTAACTTCTAATAATAATGTAAACAATAACTTTAAGATAATTTTAAAAATTATAAAAATTTATTCATCATCAGCAAATTTATTCAGCAATCATAATTTTGACGTAAGGATAATTATTCTGTTTATTTCTACTTCATAAACATAATATATGTAACTGAACTTTGATATGCAATAAAACTGTTTTTTGATTAAATATTTAATCAGACTTTAGATTTTAGAACATTTAAAAGACATAGATTTTATAAAAACATTTAAAATATAACGTTAAATAATTTTTGCACGATTAAAAATAACACTTGAGTTATCATTTATTTAAAATAAAATCAACATAATAAAATTAACATAAATTTTATTATCTATTTTTGAAATTACTTAATTAATACAAATATTTAAATTTTTATAGTTTAAAAAATTTGGTTGCAGAACATGATTATAATTTCAAAAAAAAAAATCGATATCAAATTAGTTAAAAAAGTTGAATGAAAAAAGCAATATATGCAAAATGATTTGTCTTTTCATAGTTTCTTTCACATACTTGTACTTGTACATTCTTATACTTGTATTCTTATCAAGGAAACGACGCATTGACATGCATTAATGTTTCATATGATGCTATAACCTCATACTGTGTATCTCATACTGTTGTAACATACAGCAATTAACTTAAAGCTTCTAGTAAGCGTTCTAGTAAGTATTGACTGGTCATAATCGATACAACAAAATAGCATAAATTACTATTTTTGTTTCAGATTTATATATTGCAGTACATTTTTTTAATAAAAATAACAACAAGAGTGTTAGGAGTCAAGCGCAGTAAATAAGGCATAAATAATTATCCGTTGAATTTTATCTGTATTTGAGGTTTTTCTTATCATCCAGACGTTTCAAAACAAACAAAATCCACTTTTTTAATGTTGTTAATACTCAATTATCCGGATATTTCAAATGTAATCAAATTGCTGATTCCAAATATCAAAAAGCTGAGAATTCTAAATAATAAAAATATTTAAAGTGTGCTTGAATAAAATAAAAGAATATAATATTTCACATCATAAAATGTATTTGAATAATGAAATAAAATGTATATGAAAATATTTTCATTTAAGACATTTACTATTTTGTGTTTCGTTTTATCTGAGACTTAAAGAAAATAATTAAATTTCTATTTTGTGAATAATGCACATTTTATTTTAAAGATTTTCTATTAACAAAACACTTAAAAAATTATTATATCATTAATATAAATGTATATTTTATACATGTGATGAAGATGATTCATAAATATGATAATGTTTATAAACATGATAATGTTTTAAACAACTCATTAAACAAATAAAAATATATTAAATGTAAATTACATATCATATATATATATATATATATATATATTTATATTTTAGTTTTTGTAGTTTTCTATTTCAACATGCGCTAGTATATCTTGACCTAATTTAAATGTTTCCAAATAATTTTTCAATGTCTGTTATCACAATTTTTCCAACAAGATGTTACAGCAATTAAATTAAATTTAACATATAGGATAAATATCTGCACGATAACATTTCGCAAGTCATAGTGTAGTATAATTACTTATCATTAATGAGACTTCAGGATTCACAATAGTCAAACGAACTATAACATGTGGAAGGAATACAAATACCGAGCTTTTAATTTTCCATAAATTATCTGAATATTATCATAATATTTTCTACGTGTTATAGTCTGACTTACTTACAATGTGAATGATAAATACAATATGAATTATATGTTATGATACGATGAACTTCAATGAATTGACATTAATTTTATGACATATCAAACATTTAACTCTCCTCATTTAACTATCCAACTTGAAAATAAGAAATTTCTTCTTCTTTTCAGTTTTTATTATCTTATTATCATATTTTTAAAAAAGATAAAGAGAAATTGTTTCAACAATATAATGCTATAAAAAAAATTTAATAATAAAATTAAATTAAAAAAGATGACAGATTTGCTTGAAATATAACTTGAAAAAATTGCTTATCAATTTTTTCATAAATCCATTCATATCTTCAATTTTTGAAATACTTGGAAACTTATTTTGATTTGTATATAACTTTTCTCTGTACTTCATAATATTCTATTTTTAATTATTTTATCTAATCATTTCAATCAGGTGATAATTTGTTTTCTCAATTTATATATTTTTTATATATTTATATATAATAGATTGCATATGTAAGAGTTAAAAATAAAAAGAAAATCGATACGTACTATCAAGGAAAATCAAAATTTGTTTATATATTATCATATATCATAGTTTTTATTTGCAAAAATATGTCATAAACTTTTAAAAATTTTGCATGCAAAATATGGCATAATATATTGAAATAATCGTTCATGAAAGATACATTCGTTTCAAGAACAATAAAAATTTATTCGAAAAGTTAATAACAGTTTCATATATTATAATTATTGAGAATTTTTAATATATATTTTCTTTGCTTTCCCCTTCTATTATTTATCAATTAATCACGACAATTCTATGACTTATATTAAAATATATAGATATATTTGATTTTTCCAAAAAGCTATGTAAAATTAAAAATGTTTCTCTTTTAAAAGATAAAATCTTTTTAAATCTTTTATCTTTTTAAAGGATCTTACAAATCTTTTAATGTCTTTTTAAAGGATATCTTTTTAAAGGATAAAATTTTGAGATATAATACTTTTAATAATTTATATTTTACAAATATTTAAATAACATTAATAATATAAATATATGAAAATCAGATTTAGATACTGCGTTTGTAAACAACGTTACTATTCATTGTCATTATTTATACTATTTATCGCTGTATTGCTTTATTTCTGTTTCAAGCTACAAATCATATATTAATTGAACGTTTTGCGCTCTTATGCAATAAAGTGACATTCATTTTTCTAACGTCATGTAATGAATAAGAAACCACGTATCCACCGACGTTTAATATCATCTTACATATACAACACTTTAATAATATCACAAATATACATAAGATTACAATATAGTGCATAATTATCAGCAATTTTTTTGTTTCCTGTTTAAATATTATGACAGAACATTTAACATTTCACACAATGATAATATTTACATGTGTGTTGTGTATTTTATAATTTTTCCATTCAATATCATTCTATAATTTTTACATACCTCTTACATACCTCTTGTTAATTGATAAAATTCTTTTTAAACATAATAATTATTTTGTATTAATATTAATATAATATTTTGTATTAATATTAATTAAGTAGATATATAAAATAAAAAATGAGCTAAAGATAAAATAAATTGACAAAATTGATGTCAATAAAGCGTTCGTTAGAAGATATAACAGAAAATCGCACATTTGTATTTATAATTTAGTCATATACAAATAAAAATCTTTTATTTGTACATTTTTTATCGCCACATTATAATTCTCAAATTGAGCATATAAACATTTTGTATTATACAAAAATAACTTAATTTTAAATCTATAACGCTTCTATGGGAATGTCTTCTCTTAAAAAAAACAGTGATAACAATAGCTTAAAACAACAGCTTAATATGAAAATCTACTATGTAAAATATGCTCAATTATGAGAGCATTGAAACCAACAGAGTAATCATGTGTTTAATTTTTAGTAGTTAATTCTAAGTAAATAAATAAGTACATTTTTTGACAAATATTTATTTATGAATCTTTTTCAACATCATTTAAATAAATATAATTATTTTAAATTATATTTATTAGAATAAAAAGACAAAGTACAAATTAAATAATCAAGAAGAAGCAAACGTTTTGAAAGACGTGACATACATAAAAAATTTAATCAACAAAAATTTCATAAAAAGCCCTTTTTTCTACAAAGAATATTCAACTACTTCAAATAATCGCATTTTTTAATATTTACTTCTTGTAATATTTCTTCTATAATTTTTCTAGATCTAATAAAAAATTCTAAGGAAAGTTTTTTTAAAAAATGTTTAAAAAGAAATTATAAATTTCTTTTATAAAAGGTCATACTTCTCTCTCTTAATACCACATTAATTTTTATTCTTATCTCTTTTTAAAGCTTTTTGCAAATAAGCAATAATAGGTATTATTATTTTTCAGTCTATTTGAATAATTGCTAGACAATCAATTTTACTGTATAAATTATAAACTGAAATTATAAACGTTTTTCCTAACGTAATAGTTTAACAATGAATGACATATAATTTAACAATTCATTCAAAGAAATGACGTGATTTATCTTCAAACTGTTTATTCACTATCGAACCATAAATACTATACATACAATAGATAGAATCGGAAATGGAAAGTATAAAAAAACTCTAATTAATATGTAAATGCAAGCATATTGTTGGCATTTTTGCTTTAATGCGATTTAATGAAGTAACTTTCCGCGAATAATTGCTTCCTGCGCATTTTTTGCGACATCTTTTGCATTTTCAAAAATATTGATTTATAGGAGACAATCATTGTTCTAGAACATAATCATCGTTGTTTTCATATATAAAATTATGATGTCTTGATAATATAATGATGTCTTGATCTTACAATCAATGATTAAGCATGATTTTTTTGCACAGTTTAAGTCTACGTAATATATCTTCAATATTCATCTTGAAAATTCTGTTTTTCTTTTTCTTAGCCTATATGTATATTGATACAAATATGAAGAAAATATTAATATTTATGGATTAATAAATGATTAATAAATGATGATATTAAAGTTTTAAAAGTAACAATGTAAAAACATCCTGCATTTTTTATATTTTTTATTATTTATATATTTTTTATTATTTGAACATAAATTTGTACGTAAGACGTAAATTGGACATTCAGTTTCTTTTATAGATTGAATAACGGATCACATCGTTAATGCATGTGTAAAAAATTATGCAACTAGCTGTGAATTCATTTGACTTGATCTGACACTGATTTTATATTGTTTTGCATTTTAGAATTGACTGATGTATTGCACATTTGAACAAGTTCATTTCCTTATCGTCATTCTTTACAGTTTTTTTATCAGTTCTTTATCGTTTCGGTGTTTGCTTACTTTAACGATCATGTTAATTCATCTATGCATATATAATGTATTATAATCGATTGTGATTTGCTTCTGTAAGTGACGTAAGTGACAAAATGAAGATACAATTTCCGACTTCGTTATTTTACAACTTGTAAACAACATTATATAATTTCTAAATATAATTCTTCAAAAATGTTTAAACTTTTATTTTTCATCTTCTTTCATCTTCAAATATTTGATGTCGCTTTCATTTTATATGTAGAAGCAGATAATTCATGTTAGAAGCAGAACTTTTGCACAAATTATACGCAATTATCATAATATCATTTCCAATATTTCTTATATTCTGGATATATTAAATTTTGTATATCCATTTTTCTCTTATTAATTCCTCTTTGTGCACTATGTACTATGTACTATGCACTTGTGTACTATGCACTATGAATTATTTTTGAAACGATTCGATTTTAAACATTCAATTTGAAAATTACATAATTCCAATTTTTTATATCTCCATAAATTTATTATAAAAGTTTAAAAACTACGATCATCTTATAAAATATATTTTTATAAAAATTGCACCATTTTTATCATAATATAGCGGTTTAAAAAAATTTTAAATTTCATTTTGACATCTTTAAACATCTTATCCTCAGAAACTAAGAAATAAAAAAAATTCTTACGCTTGAAATTATTCCTTTTGTGAAGTTACTCTTGAAATTTTAAATCAATTAAAAATTGTTCTATCTAATTTTAAACGTCGCCAATTGAAAAGTAGTTTTGGGAAAAACGCATTTAAAGTTTCAGTATTGATTACTTGTTAATCGAATTTATCATAATAAATCACCAAAACAAATTTAATTGATTACATGATCGAGAGAATTTTTGTAGCCTTAAACAGGGTTGAATAAGGCTCAGATTAAAAGTCGTTTTAAACGATTAACCAATATGCAAGAGATACGCTTTATATTATCTTATACAATTTGAAAAATACTTTAAATTTCATTAAAATCTTGAAGGAGCACGCTTCTAAGATATCACTTTTCCGAAAAGTGTAAAAAAAATTTTTTTTAATGTTATTGTGGCGTACTCCTCCAAAGGATTGACAAATGCTTTATCATTTTCTTTTTTGTTATTATTTCAGATAAAATGTCTCAGGACATCACACAGTCATACGGAGTCATAAATGGATTTACACGGGATGATAAGGTACAATTAAAAAAAAAAGAACGTACGTCAATCATTAAATCATTAAGAAATATTCAATTTGTATAAAAAAACGTAAAAACGTGTAAAAACGCATACTACGAGAAGTCCGAGAAGTACAATATTTATCGGACTTCTTTGCAATTATGCTAATATAACTCAATTAAAATTCTATTTTATGTATCCATATATTTTATCAAGCACGAATGTTACGTAAACGTTAATTGCATTCAGGAAATAAACAAATTCATTATTTTTTTAACCAAGTTTAATTTTTTATTTTTTGTTTCATATAACACATAAGCTCAATATTCCATAAAGCACGAAATATTTTCATTATGGCACAAAATATATAAACATTTTAAATAATGATATAAATAATTTATATTCATAATTTTTGTATTATTCAAAATTTTTATTTATATCAAACATATCACTAAATATATAAACATAATTTACTTCGTCAATCACTATATTATAAAGTACATATAAATATTATCAAGATATAAAATTGCAAAAGTCTTACAAGATTTTATAATGCTTCAAACACTGCGCTGTAAAAATATTACAATGCATTAATTGTTATGTAATGTTGGATTGTTCGTTAAGCAGTTCTCTAGAATCTTCTGCGTTAATACATACAATAATAACCATCGATACGGCCAAATCGAAAAGATGCTCTTCTCTCAATAATTATTAAAAAATTAATATTAATGTTGATTAATATCATAACACGTTAATAAAATTTATATTATTAAATTTCACAAACAAATTAAATTTTTTGCAGATGAATCAATCCATTCGATATGCATCGGCTAGCGAAACTGGATTCGATGGTAAGTCTGTCATAATATATTCGAAGAACTCTTGTTTCTCTTGCATAAGTAATTGAATTTATTGATTTCTTCTTTATAATCAGTCTCAAAAGTTATTTTACTCAGTCTCAAAAGTTATACTAACGTATTATCATAACATACTAACGTATTATCATAACATATTATCGTTACTTAACATCCTGTTTTGTAAATGATAACATTTTATTTACAACAATGTTTATATTTTTTTATCTCTTCTCCTTAAGATATTTTTTCCCCTAAATCTTTTAATCAAGAGACTCGGTCACGCCAAGTTTTTACGTGTCGATAAAATTATATACATTGTACAATGAAATGATTTGAAATTAAGTTCTTGTTAGTTAAACTTTTCATAATGGTTATCAACGATAATAATTATATGAAATTTTATCGCCACTTACTACTATTAGGTATTAGTTTTTAATTTAATACAAAGACATCAATATAATAATTATATTAAATTTTACTAACAATTATAAATAACTAGTACTAATTTTTGATATATTAATTTGATTTTAGTACTATTTCACACATCAGAATTTTGAATATTTTTATAGACACAAGTATAATAATTATATTAGATTTTTCTGACAACTATAAATTGATATTAGTTTTCTATAATAAAATCTGTTTATTCTATAAGATTCTTATTTTAATAAAATTAAAAGTTGGCGTCAGTTTTTAATATCAGATCTTTTGTGAAAATAATAAAACAGTTTATTTACTCATATGGAAATATTTATATAAAATATTTATATAAAAAAAATAGATTTTTGCACAGATAATTTTTACGCAAGAAACTATTTGAATATTTTCAGGACCTGATCAAGTATTATCTGCAGATACGGATATCACATGTGAAGCCAATGGCAGAATACGAATCAAGTTGGATAGCAATGGATGCAATTCATGTATGCCACTGTCAATTCCTGGAGTTTTTACTAAAACAGCGAAACTTTATCCCGATCATATTGCGTTGGTCTCTAGACCTGATTCCAACGGCAAAAGAACTACATATACTTTCCAGTATGTATAAGAAAAGTTATAAGTAAAAATCAATAAATACAGTAATACAGATAAACTAATAAGACTTCTAATTCCTTTACTTATATCTTGTGAAATATAAAAGTTGTTTCCTGTACAAACTTTTATTTCTCTGTTTTCAAATTGGTTTAAGATAAATTCGGCAATTAGATTTACTATGATTTACTATGACTAATCAATAACTTTGTTAATTTATATTACAGAGAATATGAATCTATTGTAAGAACTGTCGCGAAAGCATTTCTAAAACTAGGCTTGGAGCGATATCACAGCGTTTGCATAATAGGTTTCAATAGTCCAGAATGGTTTATTGCCGACCTCGCGGCTATATACGCAGGGTAAAAAAATTTAAATTGTTTATCACATATAATTTACGCATATTATTTGCATATTATCACTGATGTGATCATCGATACTATTGATAAGACAATAACAAACGATAACAACGATATCTTTAACGACATCTATTTTTACTTTCTCGATTTGTAAATAAATAGCTCATTGTATTTTTCAGTGGTTTCGCTGCGGGAATTTATACCACGAATTCTCCGGAAGCGTGCGAATATTGCGCGGAGCATAGTAAGGCAAATATTATAGTCGTAGAAGATACGAAACAACTAAAGAAAATCTTGCAAATAAAGCACAATTTGCCCTTCCTGAAGGCAATTATTCAATACGATGGCATACCTACCGAAAATGATGTTTTGAGCGTGCGTAGATCAATTACTATATACTTTTTTGTAATTACTTACATGTCTAATATCTTTATATATATATATATATATATATATATATATATATATATATACATAATTATTTATTTATACGTCATGCATTTTCATAATATTTATATTATCTTGAAATCGCGATTCACGAGAAAAACGCCGGACGAATAATTCGATGTTAAATATGACGTCTCTGTCTCGATGCGATCGACGCGTTGCGTATCCCGCTTCGACATCACGCTGAGACACGTGCATCAATAATTATCCGACGTCTCTCCGCCTGCTGTCTCTCAGCCGACTGGTCTTTCCGACGCGAATTTTAATGCTAGCCGAAGACAAAGCTCGGGCACCGTAAACGGATGCGTTTCATGCGAACGGGTGACCCCTTGTAGACATTGTCGGCTTACAAGGGGATTAAGGGAGCTAAGCTTGTTAAGTTGCAACAACCCACCGGTCCTGTCCCCCTCCACCGCTTTTTTCCCCTGCAATCCGGACACGTAACTTACTCGGGCATGACGAACGAGAGCCCGCGTAAATGCGTCTATTAAAATATCTAGGAATCAAATATCCTTGAATCGTCAATGTGTCTCACATTCATTTTTTGTTAATTCTAGTATAATTAATAGTAACAATAATTT